CCCAAATATTCTAAGATACGCAATTAGCAAAATCAAACCTCGTCACAACAACTCATGATTCGAAGATATATGCAGGAATACTTCGAGCCTAGATGGATGCTTACTTACTGGCCGTAATCCCCCCGGGGATTAGAATAAAGGTGCAAAGAAATCTACCGCGCGACCAAAGTCAGCATGTCAATGCAGAGAAAGCTGCTTACTTTTTCAAATCCGAGAAACATCTGTACCGATATCTGCGACGGTCTTAACCCCTTCTTTGTCCTCTAAGTATCTACGGCTCTTAATTTGGTCAGATACGCTTCCTCGAAGAGCGCTTCAAGAGAATCATTGCCATATAGTGCGGATGGAAGAAGCAGACAGGCCGGATGAAAATGGGAATAGCCGCCCACATCATGGTCAATGAGATGGCAGCAGCGCTCGAGCAACTCAAGGCCAACAAAACGGTAAGTCCAGATCAGATCAGGTACGAACACCTTAAGAAGGCAGCAGTGTTAGCCCTATACTGGGCTGCCTTTTACACCGCTTATCTATCTGACGAAAGGATAGTGGGTGACTGGCAGAAAGCACTCCTTACTGCTTGCTATCTTGATAGGCAAAGGCGACACCTATCAGCACGTCGAAGAGAACTGCTAAAAAAACTGCGGTTAGAAAGCACTTTAAGCCATACGCTTCGTGCGTCTCTCCGCTCTTCTGGATACTCCAGACATAATCCGGCATAAAACGATTTCCGTAGCGAAAGCCAAAAATGATTGTTTGCTAAATCCGACTTGCCAGGATAAGATCCGTTAGAAGTACAAGGGCCGCGAGACAATTGATCTATTCGTTGATTTATGTTCATCCGCATCCAAAACAGTCTTCGACAGGCTATTGAAAGACTAAATTTCGTTCAAGGTCGTCGAGACAGGAATTTCTTAAAAACTCATCAAGATAATTGTTTCTATTCTTTTGCAAAAATTCGTTAACATACGGAACGGTTTGGTGGAACCTGACCACTTCTAACAGGCGACTGGAGAGCTCAAGACAACAACCTCCTGCCTTTTGCTGGTTGTGCCTTTCGCCCTTAAATACGTAAAGCAATTCTGCTACTTAGGTTTAAGCTTAGCTTGTTTCAGGACTTACAACAACGAGCATCCAAGACAACCCGTCAGAAAAACCTTGGTAACCAGCGCTACCATAGAGAAACCATCACTCTTTAAATACGGTGATACGCCTTTTCAATACCAAGTTCCCACCAGTGGTTTTCTACTACATCCAACCCATCTGAAAAAAACCTCAAAGCAACCCAACCGTGTATGTCAGGCCACGAGGAAGCCATTTTTCTTGAGAAAACACTGGGCCTGTAGGATATATATTTTGCCGAACCGCTTCTTGTACTTCCTAGCGAATACGCTGCCATTTGTGGAGGATTTCCAATGCCAGCTTTCCTTACCAAAAACACCTATCTACCTGGAATTCATTTTCTACCACTGGCGCTATGCCATAAAGAAGGAACTGACACACGATAGTTCGGTACGCAACACATAGCCTTCACCATATTATATATACCAGCTAACTATATCGTAAGCCGAGCGAAAGCTACATCTATATCCGCTGCGGAGGCTCTTATGAATGATACCACACAGGCTCACCCAAAAGACTACTTGCTTGGATAGCGTCACGTAGATAAAAAACAGAGCAGATGTAGTGTCCTATGTCATGTATTATACGTTAAATTTTATTTTATTTATCATTTTATAAAATTGCAGATGATTTGTATGCAAAGTAGCTGACAAATATAAAAATAAGTGATGATGAATGTATTTCTTGCGAGAATTAAAATTGTACCACCAAGCGTTACTACCAAAAAAAAATAACGGCACGGATTTTATATCCAAAACCAGCAGTAGCATTACATGAGGCAGCGCGTTCCCGATGCCTAGCATATATACACCTCGGATATGTCCTTAAAATTGAAGGAAAAACGTAAGTAAGTGTCTCATATTTGACGTCCGGTGACAGGGCTAAGCGTACTTTCTGATGACTGGTCTTCAGCATGAGATGTCTATGCTTGGTTTTGAACCTTTGTATTTCGAGTTTCACATCCGTTATCGCTGTTAGGTATTCCATCAGACACCCGCCTCCCAAGCTAAATTAAGGTTAGTAAAGATAATTTCGTTACGACTATATTACAAGCACGATTGCACGCACGCAAACAGTTAATAAATAAACCATAATGCCTTCTATCAGCGTGAACCTTTTCACTACAGCCGATATTTTGTGCCTGTCTTTGCCAAAAGAAACAGGGCGGATTCTATTGCAGGACACCGGCAACAGAGCTTGCAGTGCAAAATGCATAAAAAATTACATCTTCTTTTTTGTTTTTTCCGGATTCCGGGATAGCGGTCTCTAAGATTTCGAATCAACAGCAATATCCCTCCAATACGCCCCCCGTAGCTGGCTGTTTGAATCACACATGTGTTGTACCCTCACCGTGTTTGGAACATTTTAAGCAGCCTCAGAAAATCGGTTCGAAAAGCTCGCTAAAAACATCCTTAAAAAATAACAAATATGTGAGAAGCCCTTACCTAGAAAGTATAATACATCTAAAAGAAGGCCTTGGGAGGCAAATAAAGGACAACAAAACAAACCGAACCAACGGCTGCAATGGATAACGCTTGAGGTGGATCTCACAGGTTCCGTAACAACATCTGAACCAGTAAAAGCTCATTAGAGAAGCCATACACTAAAGTAATGCTTACGCAGTTTCCTGTGTGTTCCCTCTTCGGGGGGCTAGGAAAAAAGTTGGCTAGTGGATATGAGCGTAATTAGCTTAAGCCTCCATACAACGTACGTTAATGTATTCTTCTGCGTCCCTGAAAAAAAGGATAATTGCTCCAATTAGTATGAACTAAATCAATTCAATTATATTTTAATCATATTGGGTCTTAAATTGATCTCCTATTTCCGACCACAAACATATTCCCCTCATATTCTCTATATCGAAGTACACTTACCATGCCTAACGTTCCTACATTTTTATCGGTAGTGAACACAGCACGATGGTCTGGGTTAATCAAATTTATAATGATAAGTGGACCGCCTGTATCTATCGAGAATTATATTGTTTATACATAGACGATGACCCTAATTAATTATGTAGTAATAATTTAGTTAGTGGTGATTGGTGATTCTTAATGTAATCGTGAAAAACATGCCTACCAAATGCTTCAAGTTATGTGTGTTCAAGTTTAATGTGATGACTAACCAGACATCGTTTTAAGGACACTGCCCATTGCCAGCTTCACTCCGCAAGCTCTGGTGGCCGCGGTTTAGTCGTGCGGTCTGACTGCCTAAGCTCCCTATGGCAATCGTACTTGTTTCCAGCGAAATCCTTATCCCCTGCCTTAAGCTTCGTTTAATACGCAATCGAACCCTCACGATTTGATTACCACTAAGCATATCCTATAGTGACAAATTGCCTTCTCTTCAGGGAATGAGGTCGGATGTTGTTTAAAAGATCATTTACAAATATTTAAGCTTGGCCGAGTATTAAAGTTGACACTTAGTCGTACTAGCGCTATGACACTTAGACTTTGGATGTCAAACATATTCCAGAGATCCACACACAAAGCCCGATGGGATTTTTAATAAAATTTGATTTTTTTTCCAATAAAAACAGCTTGAGTATTTTTTTTGATTCGACTAAATGACTTAAACAGGATATGCATGTGTTCAGGACGTGAGGCTAGAAGTTGAATGCATGGATATTTGTGCTGAGTGGTCCGGTGCCGAGAATTTATGTTTTCGACGTCGATACTTTCTGTTTCAGTGGATTATACTGAAGTGGAGGGAACCAATCGAACTTCAGGTCGGTGCCTCACGAATTAGTCGTACTATTGATAGCGCGAATTCGCATCTTCTGAAATCTACAAAAAGACTGCTGGCTGTAAAAACAATTACCTCGGTATCACCACCAGCCTTTATCCTACTCGACCCGACTCGGGCTGAAGGAAGTTCTAGCAAACTCGATGACTACCAGTGCTTGCATAAGGAAACATAGTTGAGCGGCCGCGTTTATTTACTTAGAAGAAAAGTGTTCCCGATAACTTTTGAGAGCTTCACTCGGCTGCCTGGTGATAACCTTCCAATGCAGACTCCTTCTTTTGGAGTAAACTTGACGGATGAGGAAGTCATAGGTTAAACGCAATAAGCGGCTTCCAAGTCGCTGGTTAAACTTCAATGTGACATAATTGTGTTGGCTATCGTCATTTTCTACCACGAAAAAGAAAGCTTGCCTAAGATCAGGGGTACAATTTTGTTTTGGCCATACTTTTTGGCGCTGCTATTGAAAGTATCAGGCGAAAATTAACATTGTATCTTGGTCTAATCAATGCGTGTACAAATCTATACGTATAATGAAAGACAAATTCAATGTAAGCAATAGTGATTTCCGTATTCAGTCGTGGAAATGCGTACAGGTATTACTAACATGGCAGGTAATTTTTCTCGCTGATTTAATTTCTAACAAATTGCTTTGAATCGCCCATGACCATTTGTGGCAGCATATGAGCTGGATAAACATATATTCAAAAAATATGCTACCATGCAGTAGAAATGCTCGGATATATGTTTAACATTAGAAATAACAAATTGAGAGTATGCAGTCGGTATCTCTTGCGTCGATCTGCCTTTCGATTGATAATATCATCTTCCTAAAGTTACCAAAATAAAACGTTGGTCAATATTCTTTGTTTATATATATATATATATATATATATATATATATATATATATGTATATATATATATGTATATATATATATATATATATATACGGAAAGAAAACTTCCGCGCTCGTTTATTAAGAGAGACATTTCCAAAGCACCGCACCTTTTTTGATCTAGTAAGTAATTATGTCATGTATCCTCTATAAATCCAAAAAATGTAAAATGGTTAAGGACGGTCGTGTGGCTGAAACACGTCTTTTTAGGCCATCCTTTCACGCTTAAGTAGTAGGATTCGGAGTAGACCCAGTAACAGGACAATAACGAGATGGTTGTTTCTCTTCACACTCATGGTAAGCTGTAATAATGCTCTATGCGGTCGTGCCGCATTTAGATTACCCTGTATGTAGACAATGTTCGACTAAACAAGCCAAAGTGGTACACGTAAATGACTTGTGTATGGATAAATAAACAAGTCAGATCATTTAGCTTCATATTTATGTTACATATCCGTCTAAATGCATTTGATATTTCGTTGTTTTAGAGCATTTCGACCAACTTTCATCTTCAGGTCTTCAGGTAAGTGTTCTAATTCGACCGCTCAATTCCAATGAAAGTGTTCAAGATTTGCACTTACCAACACTTTCAAACGGCCCAAACCTGTACTCGACAAAATCATTTAAACAGTAGAAGCATGGTGTTTATGAAAAGTTTACGCGCAAAAACAAATGCGTCCAAATAAAAAAAGCCTGAACTGCCCGTTACCTTCGCATTTCTTTTTCACAGCTTAGTGTCGGAGGGTCTCGGAGCTTGTGTCTACATTGACTGCGGATCGTGTTATTAAATCTGACTAAAAAACACGCGCTACTCGCTCGCTAATCGTGGTCTAGTAATTTCTATCCATTTACTTGGTGCCATCCCATGCAGATAATGTCTTCGATCTAATCTAAAAAGATATAGTGATAATATATATTATTATTATAATTTTAGACGCTCTAACTGACATTGATACTTCCAGATGATATATAAGAAGACGTCTATTTGTTAGCATTCTATTGTTGTGGCATGATTGTGTGCTGCGTTGCTAGATCAGTCGACTGAGTCGCGATGTTTGTTTTCGTCTCTAAAACAGTTTGCTCTTTTCTCTGTCTGATTCCCCGGTGCATTGTTCCAGGTGAACACCTAAATGTTTGGTAAGATAGAAACGAAAGATGCCCTTTCGATCCGCGGTGAACCCGTCGAGGAGTCTGCTTGGAGGACCTTGTTCGCGAACGTTAATGGCTGCACACGCCAGCTGTGACACTACTGACTTCCCCTTGCCCCATTAGTTACGTTGGCCCAACTGACCCCGCGCGGTCGCTAGTTGCGCCATCTGCAAATGCATCAACGGATCAGGGAACGGAAAAGCTTGGCACAGCGCAGGTGACGGAGTCAAGGGGAACAGCGGAAAACGACTGGTAGAAGCAGCACAATAAACAACGGCAGGACGATACACGTCAACGCAACATCCTACAACGACGACTACTGGCTCACTGAACGACGAAAGAAAGAAGCACATACGAGATAAGCGTGAAAAATGTCCCTGTGTGTCATGTGCCCCAGCAGACAAGAAGGCCGTGCCTGTTTCGCCTGGAACTCGCAGCCGTGTGTATCTCCCGCTAAACGATAAAAGGATCCTAGTAGCGTGGGCGATGGCAGCAGCAGTAGCAGCGACTAAAGCATGAACAATCGCAGGCAACAAGCATTGTTTAGTTAATAACTGGGATCGCTGAAGTCAGAGAACAACGGCAGCGTCCGGCTTACGTTCCTGCTGGTCGCTATAGCTGTGCGCGTATTCGCACGTACCGTCGGATTTACAAGACATAAACAGTGGATCATTGTGATGCTGGTGTTGATAGTTGTGAGGCGATGAGGAAGAACAATATATGAGACAGGCATAAGACAAAAGATGAACTCCACAGGGCTATCACTTGGGGAGGGTATACGTTAAAGGGTTATGTCGATGGTCGAAGATTAAATCTTCTAAAAGCTTTAACGCTATTTTGAGCTCATTGTAAAAAGCAACGCTAATCATCTTATGAACCAATATGAATTATTTACAGGTTGGCCAGACCAGATATGTGGTTCAAATTTTCAAATTGCTGAGATTCTATTTGACCTATATA